ATGCATGTTTTCTGCCAGATTTAACATAATACATCTAATTTATTAGTATGACGATAATGATGGCATCATTTTGAATCTTTAATTATGGTTAGTACTTTTTCAAAAGTTGCAATTAATACACTCTACCCTTGTTATAATGGGTGATTGGGCTGTAAAATTCCAACTGTTATAATAAATATATATCTGCTATAGCATTATATCGTATAATAATGACAATTTTAAAATATTCTGGAGAATTACTCCGTTAAATCCGCTTTAATGGAGTCCGTTGTAACGAGTGTAGACTGTACATGTTATTTATTAACGACAATTGCAAGATAACATTTCCTGAATTTACAGTATTGGTTGTAATAACAACAAAATAACAATAACAATGGTGATAACAAAATTCATTATATATTCGAAAATGTTATGATTTAAAATAATAAGCACTTCTCTTTATTGGAATTCTATTACATATTTAATAAATAAAATTATAACCATTAAATGTCTCTTTTTTAAAAACGAAATCAATCGTTATAGTTATTATTTAAAAACTAGACGTTGTTTTCATTATACGTTATTATTAAAAAAACTAGACGTTGCTTCATAATGTTAAACACCCGCTTTGTAAAATAAAATATTAAATTCAGCTTCGTAAAATAAATGTTGAGTTTAGCTTGTAAAATAAATAAATAAATAAATCAAATAATATTCAAATATTTAACCAAGCAAAATACATCCATATCATCTTGAGTGTAACAGACAACGAATTTAAATTAGCATGTACGTTCGGTTTCGCTTGTTTTTGTGCTTCTTTTGGATTTCTAACAAGTTCATAATTTCTTAACGTCTAAAAACTGTTAGTTAATAAATTATATTCGCATTGTTCAAGTATAAAGACAAGAAAAAAATTTTTTTTTATCATTATAAAAAAAAACTTTCATTTTCGATTATTGTTTAAAGAATGAGCTCGTTGCTCAAATCATAGAAAACGAAGACACCAATAATAACGAATTATATATAAATAAAGACGAAAAAAAGGTTAAAAGAAATACAAAAAAAAACAATAAATAAAATAAAATATAAATAAATAAAAATAAACATACCAAGGTTTTTTTTTTATAGTGCCAATAAAACGATTTCTTGTTTCTTTTCTTGTTTCGATCTCAATTAAAAATCATGAATTTCATGTCTCAGAATTTATATGTATGCAAAGACATTATTAAAATTTCATCATAGACATGATATACATATGCGCATCATCGCGGCTTAGACGTGGCCGCTCAGGCGAGGTTCTTTTTATCTTCTCTATATTATCTTTTTTTGTTTATTAAAGCCTCAAAGGACTCAAGTTGGAAGGTGAAAAAGAGAAGAAATTTTAGACAAAATACACCTCCCACATATCTCTTATTGGTCCGTCAAAAGAGCTACGAGAGAAA